TCAATATTTTGGGGATAGAATGAAGAGACTGATGAAAAAACATTAGCGACTATGCTGAGAAATGGATACCACAAGATTGGAGAACGCTGAGCACATTGCACTGACCGACCATAGAATTGGCTGGAGTGCAACGGAAAGACGGGATTCACATGCAAAAAACAAGAGAAGATGAAAAGACAGGGAGGCTGAGGACTTGATGAACATGAGATTGGCAGAAGGAAGCGTCAGAGTTAATTTCGTGTACTGCCTGGGCGGACTTGGACATCCCGTGAGGCCAGCTAAAAGAAGACTCTTGGACCAAGGGCATCTATTCGATAACAGGAAAAGATAAACCAAGACGAAATCATAAGGGACAAAGGGAAATCGAGGAGTCAAACAGAAACTCATCACCTTAAACGAAATAGGGTGAAAACAACTCATATACCTCATTTACTGGTAGTCTCATTTACGAAAAAGTAATGTCATCTCTTGCTATATCAAATATAAACTTGTTTCATCAACAATCCCAACGTGTCCAATGTCAAGCTGCACTGTCATGGTTCGACTCCCGCTTGAGATGTTGACAAGACCTGGATGAGGACACAATGTGAAATTCATTGGAAACATCAGCTCTACTCATATCATTGTGGGAAAATTAAATTGTCAGTTCTTCATCATCTTATACAGCTTATTTATTGGTAGTCTATAAAACCTACTATAAAAAGAAAAATAAGTAATGCCATAGATTGCTTCATCGACGATTACATCACAGAATTGTATATGTGAAAATATCTGGCATTCCCCTAATTTCACATTGGCCCTGCCACCAAAAGCTATTCGTGGCGATTCGGCTTTGTCTTTAAAGTGTCGAGCTTAAACGCTGCACCGTCATGGTTCGAATCCCGCTGGGGATGTTGATAGGATCTATGCGAAGTCGAAAGTTCAGTCCTTCCCGGATGAGAATATACTTTGGGAAAGCAAGGTTGTGTGAAATTTAATGAAAAAGTAACGTCTATTCATATAGTTGTGGAAAAATTTACATACAAGTCCTGCATCATCTTATGCGAAATACGGTAAATACATAGCATATATCTTATTTACTGGTAGTGTAAAATCATACTTAAAAAACGAAAGATACTAATTGTACACCATTATAGGTTCTATGCTAAAGGTCTAAGCCCATTTTAAATTAATCGCGGTGTAGAAACCGAGCTGGGGAGCACAGTATCAGTTCGCCCCAGTGTTCCTTTATGTGTATCTCACTAGTGAGAGGTAACTGGTGACATGCCTGACTATGGAAGTTACTAACTTTATTAACCTACACAAATGATCAGAAATTTAGGAATGGAGGGTGCTGTCAACTGAGGAGATGAGAGGAGTGTGCTTTACGCGATTGAGGAGTGGAGAAGGGAAGCGGTCCATTTTCACACCAGCGGTTTCAAGTCAGGCCAGACACAGGGCCCGAGAGAATGAAAGAGAACGGGTTGGAGATGAGAAAGAGGATTACTGGGTCGTGGGTATGAAGCCAAGGGAGAAGAAGATGCCTGGCCATAAGAATTGTCGGTCTTTAAATCTCCCAATATGCCGTAAACGGAGTCGTAATCGAGGCCTCAAAGACAGCCAGACAGTGATTTTCTTCTACAACATGAGTGGGGGGGATTAAATGACGGTCAGAAGCTATGACCCAGAATCCCTGCGAACAGCAGTTGAAACTGGTGGTGAAGAAGATTATGCTTCACTAAATTCACTTGAAGCGAAACACCTTTATGGAACATCTGAGGAAACAAGAACACAAAATGGTGTGAATAGGTAAATGGGTCATATGAAGTGGGGTTGGGAGAAACAGATAATTGGCCAAGGAGATTGCCTTTATTTGTCACTTTGATAAGTTTTAACTCTGTGCTAACTGAAGATGCTGACAAAAATGCCGGCGAAACTTTCAGGAATGTACCGAGTTAACGGTCCAATGCTAGAAATCATCATGGCAACTAGGAAAAAGGACGCAGGACAACGTTGGTCTCACAAGGTCTCCCTGTTGCTAAGACGTAGTTGCGACAACCAGATCAAACCAACACTGTAAAGTTAAAGGAGACTGCGAAAAATCGAAAGGTCAAAACATCTTGGTCTTCATACCTACGAAAATATTTTAGCTAAAGTTAAAGATAGGCGATAATGCAAATAGGGAGCCAAAAATCGCGATAAGCTCGGTTAAAACAATTTTGACTTTTCCTGCCCGGACCAAGCCTACAATCAGGCAGGCTCGGTAGGGAATTTTCCTTTACATTGCATATATCCAAGCCGTGTGGGCAAAGGGCGATTTTTGATGAATGTAGAATTTTACCATTAAACGACTCACCGAAAATCTTATGAAGTTTCAGAAGTGTGAGTAAGGGCAAATGATAATGGATCAATTGATTAAAAAAAATATGGATTGAGGAAAACTATAATTGTCCCAAGGAAAAAGCAACTTCAGCCAGCAGTGGTATGATTAATAACTAACAAAAAATAAGTTAGACTATTGTTATAAGTTTATTTCTTCCACTTTGTAATAAATGGTTGTGTTTATGTTTCTCATTTAGGAAAGATTCTTCATTCACAGAAGAAATTTTTACCTCGTCTCCATCACTCTTCTTTCCAATCAAATGCTCAATGTCTATTTTACCTTTCATCATTATACTCTAAAAAAATTTTTCTTTCTTCCCTCTTTCCTCAGACGTTATTGTTTATGGCCTCATAAGCGTCCCATATAAGCCTCACGCTCAGCTTTGATTTTGCTGCTTCATCATAATTACTCCAAGTTTAAAATCAGTCAAGCAAAAGTCCAATTGACTTCATCGGATGTAGACAGAAGTGCTGAATAGTTGGCTAGACAAAATAAGGAGGTGCAATTTAACTTTTCTCTCTTCTCTACTTTTTCCTAATCCTCTTTCTTCTTTTCATCTAAAATGTTTCATTCTCTCATCCCTGTTCTGCCACACTGTCACATAGTTGAGCCAATTTTGGAAGCGAAGATGAGCAGGGGATGGAGCCTTTAGGAAAAAATTAAAAAAAGAAGTTGAGAAGTGAATTTAAGTGGCTTATAAATTGTTCTGTTCAATCCCTTTTGCAGACAAACTGGAAATAAATATAAGAAGGCTTAAAGAGAAATGTGAGAATACAGGTAAAAATTGTCAACCAAAGAAAG